GAGCGCCCCGTGTTGTAGTTGCACTCCAGCGTGTAGCTGTGAAGCACAAGCAAGCCCGCGTTACTCGAGGGATCCACACCTGCCCCAGCGCGGGAACGCTCCTGCTCCGATGACACTGTGCAGGCGAGTTGGGGTCACCCTGCCTGGTAGCCACCACCGTCCCCCACAGCCCCGGGAGCAGTCTGGGGAGAAGACGTGGCTCCTGGCATTGAAAAAAAAACTCGCTTCATGGGTGCTGCATTTTCTTATCAAAGGAGGTAAAAAAAAAGCAGCAGCTGGCCATCGGGTGGAAGCCAGAGGTGTGCCGAGGACAGGAGAGGCACCCGTGACCCAAGAACCGGACTCTGAATTCAGTGCTGAAGGAAGGACGGGCCGTGGGGGAGCTGGAGCACCCGAGCAGCCAGTGAGCAGAGCACCGAGCTCCTAAAGCGCCAGAGGAGCCAGCCAGGGCACACGCAGCTGCAAGGGACACCCGACTACTTTTCAGGGCGAAGCAACTGCCAGGAGTTGTTCTCGGGTTATGCTGAAGGGCCTGCAGGCTCCCCCAGGGAGCTCACGCTAAGGACAGGGCAAGAGGTTCACGGAGGGCGCGTCGTTCCCCGGGAGCAAGGCCTCACACTGTACTGATTTTCTGGCAGCGAGACACCGGACCACTGATGTGGCACATTAAATGCTGGTTCTATGCCCCAGAAAGTCCTGGAGTAGCTGGGGATGTGACACGGAACGGCAGCCTTGGCTGTAGCGACCATGAAATGGGGTTCATGATCCCAAGGGAGAAGAGCAGCAGAGCACATGCCCTGCGCAGGTTTCGGCTAACTCAGGGCACCAGTAAGGGGGACCCTGTCGCAGACAGCTCTGCGGGACAGGGGGTGTAGGGAGAGAGACAGGTTTTTGAGCACAGCATCCTCCGGTTGCAGGGTGCTGGTACTCGGGGAGATGCACAGACATACCGGGAGATGGGCTGGCTGATCGGGAGCTCGTGACGGAGCCCCACTGCAGAAAGCAGCAGTGGAGTGGGAAGATGGGGCTCCAGGGGAAAAACTACCTGAAAGGGAGGATAATCGAGTCAGGGATCCCTGAGAAACATGACCTGGGTGAGCCTACGGCCCCGAGGCAGCACCCAAGGGTGCTGAAGGGTATTCCTCTGGGTCATCCCTGGGAGGTGATGGGGAGTGGGGGGGTCCCCAATGGGTGGAGAAAGGCAAATGTTGCAGCTGTTGGCAAAAAAGACAACCCATGGACCGAGCGGCCAGCCAGGCTCACCTCGGTCCCTGTGAAACCCCGAGTGAGCCCTGCCGGAGGCAGGAAGGAGAAAAGGGTGACTGCTCCATCTGCCTGGCTGCTCAGAGACATTTCAGCTCGCTAATCCCGCAGAAAACAGGAGCCTCCCTCCCCGTCCATTTGATGTGCCTGCACAGCGTGGGCACCGAGAGCGCTCCTGCACCAGCACAATGCCGGCCACGCTCCAGGATGAACCACGGGCTGTTCCCCGCCAGCCACGGCAAACAGCCACAGAGCAAGTTATACCAGCAACCCGAGCCTCAAATCCCGGTGTATGTTACCGCGGGGCTGGTTTTAGCTGGATAAACACGTTCCCTGGCCCAGCCTGCGGCCGCAGAGAAGCAGCAGGGTAAGTGCTGAGGAAACGGGGGACAGAAAGGAGCCGAAGCAGCCACCACCTCTGCCGGCAGACTGGTCCTAGAGCAGCCACAGCCAGCGATGAAGCTGCAGGAGAGGGGCGCAGGGGTTTCTGGGGCTGGTAGGAAGCCTGGTGCTACTTCTGCATTTTCTCAAACCACAGATTCCCGGGGAACGTGGCACCTGCTGCATCAGCATGACACACTTCTCCCTCAGCATCTGCGAACGGCTGCTGCCAGGGCCAAACCAGGGAAGACAGGCCGAGTAGTTCAGCCCTTTTTATGTTCCCAGCAACCCCAAAAGAAAGAGGCCAAAGCCATCCCGCCCGATGTCGCAGCAAGGGACATGGTGCTATGGTCACACAAATATCCTCAGCTCACAGAATCACAGATCAGTGGAGGCTGGAATCTTGCACGGCAAATCTTGCACGTGAGGTCTGGGGAAGCCAAGCCCATTACCACCAGCCAGGTTTTAATTACAGCTCAATACCAATACAAACATTGGGGAAAGAGAATTCCTTCTGGAAAGCCGTGCACGAGCAGCTCCGTGACAGCTGGGACAAGCCACCAGAGCAGCTGCAGGAGGGATGTGATGGGACAGGAGGAAGAGGAGCCAGGCCTGCAGGTCAGGAACGTGGCAGCTCCTGGCACGGCCGGGTCCCGGCCCCTGCCTGCACCGCACCGAGCGCATAACGCTCTTCTCGGCCAGTCCTGACGGCGCCGGACCGTGGCGCAGGACACAGCTGCCCCCACAGCCGTGGTTTGGGCTTTCCTTAACACCCTGTGTGCAGCCAGCCCCCCTTCGCAGGACGGAGGGGAGCTGGGCCAGGCCCGGCGGGTGTGGAGCAGGCGAGCAGAGCTTGGCCTACCTGTGGATGATCCCCAAGGCTTTGTAGATGGCCACCCGCCCGCTGCCCTCCTTCGACTGCCCGTCCCGCTTGTCTTTGGCGTACATGTTCTTCTCCGAGAAGTTGCAGCCCGTGAAGTCAAAGTGGGGCGAGTTCAGGGAGATGAGTTTGGGGAACAGCATGTTCTCCACCTGCGACGCACACAGCACGACACGGGTGACTGGGGGGGTCCTTTGGCTGTTTGTCCTGCTCTGGCACCACTGGCACCAAGCCCTGGGACGCACCGGGGTCTTGCCTGTGGCCAGGCCCGCTCTGCCCAACTTCAGCCCTGCCCGGGGGACGTTGCCCACCCCTGCCTGCCCCTGCCCACCTCCAGCAGGGACAGGCAGCAGCCAGGCTCTGCCAACAGCCTGCTCGTGGAGAGCAGGGAGCCTGGCGGTGCAGCTCTTCCCTGCTGTCGCATCCCGGAGGAGAGGAGGGGGCAGCTCTTCTGTCCTCCCCACACCAGCGCCCGGGGGAAAGCTGAGACCTGCTGCTACTGCTCTGACCACAGGCCAGGGAGAGGGGAGCAAAGCCCACCAAGCGCCCAGGCAGGGAGGGCGGCCAGCCCAACACCCTCTCCTCAGATGCCAGCCCTGTCCCGACACAGAGCTCCCACCCCCTCTCCCAGCAGCAGCGGGAGCGCTCGGGACCCTGGGAGAGGGCAGAGCGCCGAGAGGGTCCCGGCCTGCTCCAGCACCTCTGTACTCCTTCCCCCTGCCCTCACCTGATCGTTTTCGTCGCTGAAGCTATTGCCGTACATGAAGCACCCACGCTTGGAAGCGTGCCCGTGGAGATCAACGTAGTAGGCCAGCCCGCTGTCCTGGGGCAGGATGGTTTCAGGGAGAGGTGCTGGCGAAGGCCTCCTGGCTTCCTCCTCACGGTGCTCCGCGGTGCGGCCTGAAGGGAGGATCCAGACAGCGTGGTCCTTGCCGCCCAGCTCAGCGGCAGGCGCTCCTGCGAGCCGGGATTCCTGAGAGTGGCCGAAGTAGGTGCCGGCACGCCAGGTGCCGGGTGAGTTGCGGAGGTTATTGGCTTTCTCTAGCTCCGACAGGGCTGTCTCCGGGGACGGGGCGCTGCTGCGGACGGAATGGTTGGAAGGTTTTGTGCTTAGCGAGCTGGTGCCGAGCGGGGAGACGTACGTCCTCCAGTCAGGAGAGCCTGGCAGGATGCGGCTGTGAACATGGTGGTAGAGGAGGACGGCTTTGGCCCCGTACACCGCGGGGTGCAGCTCGGCGTCGGGGTTGAGATACTGGCGGTTCAGGTTTACCCCACGGGAGTCGGTCCTGCAGAGAGAGCAGAGGAGACACGAGGTCTTTCGCATAGCGCTATCGTTCTGCAAAGGCAG